TTCGGGCACTTTCTCCAAAGTAACCTTTTCCTTCTCAAGCGGTTAAGACTGACAAAATATCAAGGATATTTGGAGGTATCAAAAATGGCAGTTACATACTATATATAAAATGGAGAAACAATAGGTTTCCACTGCAGAGCACAGGGAACTCTATTCAATATCTTGTAGTCTCCTATAATGAAAAAGAATCTGAGAAGGAACATACGGATGTGTATGGATGACTGAAACAGCACACTGTACACCAGAAACTGACACAACACGGTAAACTGACTATAATTCCAAAAAAAAAAAAGAATAGCAAAAAAATGGCAGTCATACCTGTCTGGGTTATTTTACTTTTTTCTTTTGTAAGTTTTATTTTATTTTTTCAGGGGAGGTAATTGGATTTATTTGTTCATTTGGTTGTTAAATTGGAGGTACTGGGGATTGAACCCAGAACCTCATGCATGCTAAGCATGCACTCTACCACGGAGCTACACCCTCCCCTCTTACTTATTTTTAGTTGTTATTTTTATTATTTTTAGTTTTTATTAGATTTGGGGGTAATTAGGTTTATTTGTTTATTGATTGATAGAGGAGGTACTGGGGATCCAACCCAGGACCTTGCGCACGCTAAGCCAGCACGCTACCACTTGAGCTATACCCTCCCCTCCTATTTGACTGACTTAGTTTACTTTATGAAGAACTTCTGCTCGTCTGCCAGTAACATTATCGATACTCAACATGATGACTCAGCAGAGGTGGCCACATGCCCACCTGATGTTTTCAGCAGTGCTCTTTGTCACCTTCTAATGTCACCTGTTCTCCTTTGCCAGGGCTGCTATTTATCTCCCTTAGCTCTTGCATTGTATTATTTCCTGACGTCCATTAGAATCAGTGGAAGCCAGCTCTGCAGAAAACAGCGCCAAAGGCTTTAAACGAGCGGTACTTTATCTCACCTTCCCACGTTGCATCCTGGTTCACGTTTCTAAATTAGACTATAGTTCATAATTCTAAATGTTCTTTTACTTTGCTATCTTCACTGGAATCTTTGTTTTCAAACTGGAGTAGTCAGTTTGCAATGTTGTATCAATCTCTGGTGTACAGCTTAATGTTTCAGTCATGCATATACATACATACATGTATTTATTTTCATATTCTTTTT